TAATTCTATTTGGGCATAAGCCTTTTGACTTGAACAAACTTGAGTCATATCTTTGAATAATCCCAATATAAAAAGTGTTTACAGATGAAACTACTTTTTCGTTCGGGGGGCGATCCTCATTGATGCAAGATTGTATCTTTGGAACTAATTCTGAAGTGTATAGGATCGGATCACTACTTGTACAAAAGGTTAATTATAATGTTAACCAAACCATTTACATGAGAAATAACTTACACCTCTCTTATTCTTTTTTTTTTTTTTTACTAAACTAGAGGTCAGAATGATCCCATGGAATAAATTTTTTTATTTGTTTTTTTATGTGAGTTATCACGTTTTCACTTGGAATCTTTGTGTCACCTGATTAAGTTATGATAAAAATCAATTTTTGTCACAAATAATTACTTGTTTATCAATTAACACAAATGTTTTGAATTACTTTAAGTACTTACTTTATTTTTGGTTGAATTCTCATTAAGCCCTAGTTCTTTTTCTAAATAGAAATTCACACATAATTATTGATTTTTTTTACATAGCCAAACCAATTTACATGACAAACAACTTACACTCTCTCATTGTTTTTTTTTTTTTACGTGAATTATCACGTTTTCACTTGAAATCTTTGTGTCACTCGTTTTAACTTGTGGTAAAAACCAATTTTATCACACATAATTACTCATTCCTCAAGTAACACATAAATGCTTTGAGTTACTTTTAAGTAGTTAAGCTGTTACTAGTTGAATTCTCATCTGAGTCCTAGTTCTTTTTTTTTTTTTTAAATTAAGAAAGTGATAAAACATAACCTCCAAATAAGAATACCCAAGAATAAAACTCAAGGTGGATCTATATATATATATATATATATATATATTTGTATAGAAACAGATGTAGCAACAATTTATTAATTATTACTTTTGATTTTTATAATAATATTTTTATAAATAATTAAAACAATAATTAATTTATCAGTTTAAGGTATCACTCACCCAACCATCATTAAAAAAAAAAATTGAAGTAAGAGTATTATTAACTGAAACATTTAAATTATATATACTGACCCTTTTAATATGAGAACTCAAAACTAAAAAGAATGAATAGAAATTGAACCCTATTCGTTTATTTAGAGAATCTGAAACAATTTTTTAATAAGTTAACTCACACGCATCATCAAGTCTTTTTAGATGAATCATGTATAAGCTATGGCGAGTAATATATATATATATATATATATATATATATATATATATACACACACACACACAATTATTATATACAGGGACACGTATGCATGTATGTGGGCTCTGGAGAAAGTAGTAGGATAGTAGTTGTGATCATGCATGTAGTAATTTATGAGTTTATTAATTAATTAATATTATTATTATTATTTTTTTAAAAAAAAAGATTAATCTTGTTATGTTTTGGTTGAGATTAAGGGGCGTTTATTATCTTGCGGTCAAACACAAAGTAGAACTATAAAGAAGTATGTATACATATACATATGTGTGCGTGCGCATGCCCGGTGACACGTGCGGGCTCTATCTCTGATCCCTCTTTTTCTTTAAATCAGTAATGTGACCAAAAACATGAATGCATTAGCTGGAGGGAGAGATTCCGTGTTTGTGATTCAAGCTGTATAATTACCAAAAAAAAAAAAAAAAAAAAATTCTTCCTTAACCCATTTATTTCTATGCCTATTTATACCCCTTCTTCTTCTCTCTCACAATACAACTCCTCTTCCCTCCTCATCTATACTCACAATATGGAGAACTACTACTTCTTCTTCTTCTTCTTCTTCTTCTTCTTCTTCTTCTTTACCATTTCCATAATGCTTCTCCTCAAATATTTCTTGTCCGGCCGCCATCGCCGGAATTTGCCTCTCCCCCCGGGCTCCTTGGGTTGGCCATATATTGGTGAAACCTTCCAGCTTTACTCTCAAGACCCAAATATCTTCTTCGCCAACAAACAAAAAAGGTACTATACCAAGAAATGGGTTTTAACAACATTTTCCAATCTTAATTACTTAGTGTCGGTGAGTAAGACATGAGTTTTTGTCTTGTGGGTTTTTCAGATATGGTTCGGTTTTCAAGACCCACATCTTGGGTTGTCCTTGCGTGATGATTTCTAGTCCTGAAGCTGCAAAATTTGTACTGGTTACAAGAGCTCATCTGTTCAAACCAACATTCCCAGCTAGCAAAGAGAGGATGTTGGGGAAACAAGCAATCTTTTTTAGCCAAGGAGATTATCATAACAAATTGAGGAAACTTGTTCTTCGTGCTTTCATGCCTGAAGCAATTAAATACATAGTCTCTGATATTGAATCCATTGCTAAGGATTCTTTGAAATCATGGGAAGGAAAACTCATCACCACTTACCAAGAAATGAAAACAGTAAGCAACCATCAATTGTTTTATTTTCACCCTTCATTTCAAAATGAAAGAAAAACAAAATCTTGACATTTTCTTGGTTTTTTGGTTTCTTGTTTTGGGATTTCCAGTACACATTCAATGTAGCACTACTTTCCATATTTGGAAAAGATGAGGTTCAGTATAGAGAGGATCTAAAAAGGTGTTATTACATTCTGGAGAAAGGATACAATTCAATGCCCATTAATGTTCCAGGGACTCTGTTTCATAAAGCCATGAAAGCAAGGAAAGAGCTTGCTCAGATTTTGACCAAAATCCTCTCAACCAGGCGTCAAATGAAACTTGACCATAATGACTTGCTTGGATCTTTCACGGGAGATAAAGAAGGACTCACCGACGAACAAATCGCCGACAACATCATCGGCGTTATCTTCGCCGCCCGCGACACCACCGCCAGTGTTTTAACTTGGATTCTCAAGTATCTGGGGGAAAAACCAAGTGTTCTGCAAGCTGTCACGGTAAGTATATATACATATAAAACTGCCCAACTCAGTTTTTCTCTTCACCATCTTTATCTTTACTCTTCTTTATATTTACTGGGAGTGAAGAAATAAGAATGGAGTTGATGATTTTTTTGCAGGAAGAACAAGAAGGCATAAAGAAGAGCAAAGATAAAGATGGTGTAGAGAAGGAGCTGAGTTGGGCAGATACGAAGAACATGCCAATAACTTGTAGAGTGATTCAAGAGACTCTGAGGGTTGCTTCAATTTTATCTTTTACTTTCAGAGAAGCTGTTGAAGACCTTGAATATCAAGGTTAGCTAGCACTCAATCAACATTTATTTTTAATTAATTAATACCCAGATAATTTAATATATTATATATATATATATATATATGTACATGAATTTAGACTAAAAAGGTAAAATTGTGTGTTCGATAATTTACAGGGTATCTGATACCGAAAGGGTGGAAAGTTTTACCACTTTTCAGAAACATTCACCATAACCCAGAAATATTTCCAGATCCTGAAAAGTTTGATCCTTCAAGATTTGAGGTGAGCTTTTCAAGAATGAATGCATCCTTGTGTGTGTGTATATATATATATATATAACTATATATTTTATAGAATTTATTTATTTATTTATTTATTGTTCAATCATATAACAGTCTGCTCCAAAACCCAACACTTTCATGCCATTTGGCAATGGGACCCACTCCTGTCCTGGGAATGAATTGGCCAAGCTAGAGATTTTGGTCCTCCTCCACCATCTTACCACAAATTACAGGTCGGTAAACTTTAAAATAAAATTGGCTCATTTCATATATATATATATATATATGTGTGTGTGTGTGTGTGTGTGTGTGTATATGTATAGATGCTGAGATGAGACAAAATTGGTTTCAGGTGGTGTATGGTGGGAAAACAGAGTGGGATTCAGTATGGTCCTTTCGCTCTTCCCCAGAATGGGTTGCCCATAATTTTAACTCCCAAGTCGTCCTAAGCAATTCTCATCTTCCAAACAACAAACAGTTTCCAAAAATAGAAACTCTGCCATAGCCAATTCTGAGATCACCATGAAGAAAGTCAAGAAACAAAGAACAACATTCAACCAATTTACAGAGGAAGAACAAGTAATAACTTACTCTTAATTTTCTAATCTTCAATCCTCACTCCTAAAGAGGAAAGTGAGTCAACTGTACATATGATTTTTTTTTTTTTTTTTTAATTTTGAAAACAAAACATAGAGGGGAAAAAAGATGCGCAAGCAAATCAATCCATTTTTTGTATTAGGGAAATAAAGCAAGGAAGAGAGAGACCCAAGTCCCAAACTTTGAGATGGGATTCTTGTTTATTTTATTTTTTTATTATAATATATATATATATATATATATATATAATAAGTTGGTGTAAAGGAAGAGTCAAAACTGATTCTTCCTATAGAGCTTGTTAGTGTCCTTATATGATGAGAATTTTAGTTTTTAGGTGTGTAATTTGTTAAGTTAATTATGAAATGCCGCAAGGCCATCTGAAATATATCTTTAAATTACTGTTATTTCCTGCATCATTATTACCATCAATTTCTTCATAGCCGTTGAAGCCAATTTCTTCACACACACACATATATGTATATATATTATACATATTAAATTATCTGGGTATTAATTAATTAAAAATAAATGTTGATTTGAGTGTTGACATTCAAGGTCTTTTAACAGCTTCTCTGAAAGTAAAAGATAAAATTGAAGCAACTCTCAAAGTCTCTTGAATCACACTCTACACAACTTATTGGCATCTTCTTGGTATCTGCCCAACTCAGCTCTTTCTTTTCACCATCATTATCTTTGGTCTTCTTTATAGTCGCCTTCTTCTTCTTCCCGCAAAATCATCAACTCCATTCTTATTTCTTCACTCCCCCTAAATATATAAAGTAAAACAAATATAAGTGTAATTGAATATAAATAAGAATGATCGTGGGTATAAATTGGCACAAGTACAATTAATACACAGATAAGACAAAAGGAACATCATATAAATGGTGTAAAAATAACAGAAAAGGTTAGGTAAAGAGTAAAAATATAAGAAAAAATATTCTGAGATAAAGAAAATAAAATTACATATTGAAGTACCACAGACAATAACATCATATTATTATAAGCACAAATCTCAATGTGATGAATATAACTGTAACGGCCCCAAAAATTTAAAATAAAATGTGTATTAAAAATATCAAATGCGGAAGCGAAGTCAAAATTTCGATTAACATCCCTTACACTAAAACCAAAAACGTGCTCACAAAATATAAAAGATCAAACTAACTAAAGAAGAAACTAGAAAGTAAAAGATATGAATATGACTATGGAGTCTTTAGGCGTCCCCTTCGTCGTCCTCATGCGGAACGGGCTCGGGAACAATGTCTTCCTAATCTGAAATAATTAAATAAGGAATGAGCTACACTAGCCCAGTAAGGACATCACGATATCTCACCGTCACGGAGGTAAAGGTGGGTAAAAAACACAAAAAGACCAATGGAGCATAATTTACAACAAATCCTTTTATCAATAATAAATCTTTTACCATCCACTTACCTCGGTGAAATTCATAAAACAATATACGAAAGCAATAACATTATCATCATCATAAAATCATATAAACTGTATAACATAATACTTATCACGCCTTTTGTAATTCAATCATTACACAACATATTTTCCTCATTTACCAGCCCACTAGTATCCATGGGGATCCATAGGGGTCCCGCTACCCATTAACCCTTAACACTTGAAATCAGATTCCAGGGCCGTCCTCATACCCCGTCCGGTATGGGTGCCAAAACTATAAACCTCATTACCCCGTCCGGTATGAGGGTGAAACGGGCCGTCCCCATACCCCGTCCGGTATGGGCGCCAAAACACATAAGGTCTCCATACCCCGTCCGGTATGAGAGACCACAATCCCGGTAGGGTTCCCTACGGACCCGGTCCGTCCACCATCTCCCAGGATATCTAGTCAGGCTGACCACATTATACAATTATCAATTTACATAATCTTTCATTCTCCTTTTCCTCAGTCAGCATCATCAATTTACATACAAACAAACAAAGAGTAATTTATGCCAAACAAGACAACATACAGCATCGGTTTCTCAGTCATTCAACCCATAATCAATAAAACAGTAAAACATGCATGCGAAACAATGAAACGAAAACATCAGACCTCATACTGCATTTAAAACTGTAAAATATGTCAAATAACAGTTAACCGACAAACACACTAGACTCAGGATCCATTAGCGACCTTAAGCAATTTCACACATTCGTTGATTCAAGAAATACTATTTTATCATTGTTGAACTTTAATACCGTAATAGAAAATAGGGTGAGGGGTCCTTACTCGTTTCGGGGTCCGAACATGGCTTCACAGTGCGCCTACAGGCTGTCCCTAATTTTTCTTGAATTTTTTTCAGGGAACTGAAACGCACTACCGGTACCTGCACGTGTTCCAAAAAATCCCAAATTAGGCCCAGGGCCCCTTTTTGGCCAACATCGCAATTTCGGCACGGCGGCTCCGCCGTGCTCCGGCGACGGCGCCGCCGCTTGCGGCGGCGATTTGCCTCGGGTTGGCCGTTTTCGGCCGTTTCCAGCCGAATTCGGCCACACTTGCATCGGTCCCTGCGATAAAACAACCCTAGGGCCCTCGGGGGGCCAAAAAATTACGAAAAATCGAAGCTTACCGGCGGCGATGCTCTCGGGTGCGGCGGCTCTCCGGTGAGGTTCGTGTTTTGGTGATTCGGCTCCGATCAACCTGTAGAGAAAAGAATGGTGATCACGGTGATATAAAAATTGCATCAAACGGAGGCCGGGAAGGGCCTCATCGGAGGCAAAAACCGAGGAGGGGCACGGCGGCGCCGCTGGGTTTCGACCGTGTTTTCCGGCTGTTTGGTCGGGATTTTGGCTTCGATTTGGCCACAGAAGAAATCAGCGTGGAAAAACGAGTCGGGGGTATGAAATTTACCTCGATCGGCGGTCGAAAATCTCCCCGGTGCGGCGGCGGGTGGTGGCGGCCGGCTTCTCCGGCGTCTGGTTCGTCTTCTCCGGCGAGGGCAGGCGGCTAGGGTTTTTGTGGTCAGGTGTGGGGGTTCTATTTATACCCTTTTGCCTTTTGATCTCAGCCGTCCATTTTGATTTAATCTGGGCCGTCCGTTTTTTATTGAATCTGGGCCGTCCGTGCGATTACATTTGGGCCGTTAGTGCGCACGCTTGATCTGGGCCGTCCGATCGCGCGTACGCGGATCGCCAACGTGGCTCGTCCCCGGTCGACGTGGTCTTGCCCACGTGGCAGGTCCTGGTTGGCCAGGACTGCTGACTGGGGTCTGCC